AGCTAGAACATAATGTCCCCTAAACCAGCTAGACCATAATGTCCCCAAAACCAGCTAGACCATAATGTCCCCTAAACCAGCTAGACCAAAATGTCCCCTAAATCAGCTAGACCATAATGTCCCCTAAACCAGCTAAACCATAATGTCCCCTAAATCAGTTAGACCATAATGTCGCCTAAACCAGCGGGACCATGATGTCCCCTAAATCAGCTAGACCATGATATCACCTAAACCAGCTAGACCATAATGTCCCCTAAACCAGCTAGACCATAATGTCCCCTAAACCAGCTAGACCATAATGTCCCCTAAACCAGCTAGACCATAATGTCCCCTAAATCAGCTAGACCATAATGTCCCCTAAATCAGCTAGACCATAATGTCCCCTAAATCAGCTAGACCATAATGTCCCCTAAATCAGCTAGACCATAATGTCCCCTAAACCAGCTAGATCATAATGTCCCCTAAACCAGCTAGACCATAATGTCCCCTGAAATATGTAATTGCATTAGTAAGATCTATGCTGGGGTCAAAGCAGTAATCCACTTTTCAACCCCCCCCCCCACACACACACACACAAATAGAGACTACTATGGAGTTTACTTTGAAAGCCTGTTATTGAACAAAGTAGACCAAGGTTAATTAGTTGTTGCCATTTGCAGTATGTGGTCACTGGTGGGAAAATGTGTTTAAAAATGTGCAAATGCCCTGGATAAAGTACTAGGCACATGCAAAGAATGAACAGATTTGGTCCACCGAGTTCTGAAATATGAATTCGGATCGACGGAGCCCAACTATATGTTCGAACGGGGGCTAATTATCATATACAGAATATACATTAACAGAATAGCAGCAATAGAAAGTCAGGTTCAGGGAGTCGTCACCTACGTATGCGTCAGGTGGCCATAGCGTGTCATTGTTAACCAACAAGCGTCTACTCATGAGCCTTTGCATTCTTAGCATGTGTTGTTATCGTCGCTTGGGATTCAATTCCTGTGCATGTGTAGGTGACGACCCTACTTGTCCATATTGAGAGCAATTGCTCTGGAACAGCATTAATTAGAGTGAAATGACCACTGGTCGGCCATTTTGAATTGGATCATCAAACTAATACATCTGTATATCTATTATTATTATTATTATTATAAGATTACTAGAATTGTTATTATTATTGGTGAAAAATAAATCATACAACGTGCTCACATGTATAATGAATATATCAAATTTGAACATCCATCAAAGCATGTCAGAGATCTGGCTCTAGAACTGCATTCATTAAAACAAAATAGCCGCCAATCGGTCATTTTAAATCTGAACATATTCGGACTGTGTCCAAACAGGAACTAAAACAGTAGTGTGGCCATTACAATGATAACAAATTTGGTAAGTCAGACTTGTGTACCCAGGGCTCCAAGGCATCACAATCTAGTGCTATGGGTAAGCTCCGCATAGCTGCAATGGTCCAGAGTTAATATTCCATTCCCTATGTATATATTAAATCATCTTGCAACGTTTAAAAAAGTAACCACGCCCATTAACTCAGTTATCAAAATTTCTATGGTAACAGATCTAGCACAGGATCAGACTAATTTCACTGTCCAAGGAAACAGCGATGGTCCTTAGTGCTAAACTTAATATTTAAAAAAAAAAACTCCTATATGAATCATGTCAGGATGTTGTATAAACCTGAAAAACAATATTTTCACTGATCCTAGCTTGGAGAAGGTGTTGAAGTGAAAGATTCAGGCTCACTCAATGAATCTTCTGAAGGAAGGTCATTTCTTTTCACCATTCCTTTTTTTTTTCAGAAATAGTGGGATATGCGAGTGTTATTTTTGTGTGTTGTAATCCCTACTTCATATGAATAAGTGGTTGCATGTTTCCTGTATTTGCATATTTAATAACAAGATTTCACATACTTGTAACCATTTTTCATCACTGAATATTATGGTGGTTATCATCAAGACTGTAGAATTATTCTATCACTTTGTAATATTAAAATATTACTCAGGTATAAGTATATGTGAAATATTTCAAGCATTTACATAATATAAGTTACATTAATACTTACATCACACCTGTTGTCCTCTGCAAACCGCCTAATGACATACTTCAAATGACTGTTTGAAAGAAAAAAACAAAATAGAAGTGGTGAGAAAAAATTGAAACCTCGAAATTTGCACAACTAGCAATTCTTGGGATTACTAGAAATTTGTCTGTGACTCCCAGTCTTGTGATGTTCATAATATACATATATACTATAAATATTTCCTGAGTGTTTGAAGTTGTATAATGTGATTGTCATGAGTGGTGGTTAACATAGTTGTAGAAGTAAAAATGTAAATGAATGTGATTTTAAACAGAAAAATTGTAAAACATGGAAATAATCACAGAAGGACAATTTGATTTCATAAGAATAAATAAATAAACAACAACAAACAAACAAACAAACAAGAATAAGAAATATCATGGTGGATTGATAACGTCTGAATGTGGCATTTTTCTAACAGGTGGTTGAATTGCAAGAGGGAAAATAAAAAAAAATTTTAAATTTATATTTTAAATAAAAGCAGGTGATTCAGCTAATGAAGAGTATTGACTACCGTAATACAGTATGTCATTAATGTTGG